AAAACGGCTAGCTAGCTGGAGCTAGCTGCTGCGGGCTCAAGCCAGCTGAGGCTAGCCCTGAAGCCTCTCCTGCTGCAGCTGCTGCAGCTGCTGCAGCTGCTGCAGCTGCTGCAAAGGCTGCAGCAGGGGGCCCATCCACGTCGCACAAAAGCCGCAGGAGCGGCGGCGCGGCAGCAGCGCTGCTGCTAGCAACCGCGGCTGCCAGCTAGCTAGCTAGCTAGCCAGATAGCTAGCCAGCTAGCTAGCTAGCCAGCTAGTTAGCTAGCTGGCTAGCTAGCTAGCAGCCACACCGCGCCACACAGGAGCCGCAGGGACGGCGTCGCAGCAGCATTGCTGCAAGCAGCGCTGCCTCCCGCAGCAGCGCCTGCCACCTAGCCAGCCAGCTAGCTAGCTAGCTAGCTAGCTAGCTAGCTAGCTAGCTAGCTAGTGCTTCAGAGGTCGAGGGCCTGCAGCTCCGGCTGGTCCGCCACCACCCCTGTCTGGGAAACCTCCCCCAGGGGCTTCAGGCTGCCGTCAAGAGGCCTCGCCTCCACCACCACGCACAGCGTGCTGCTGCTGCTGCTGCTGCTGCTGCTGCTGCTTGCAGCAAGGCAGCAGCGGTGCCGCACCACTGGGGACTCCAGCCACTGCCCAGCCACTCCCTGCTGCCCCCAGCGAAGCGCCTCCACCCTCCCGCTCGGCTTGCTGCTGCTGCTGCTGCTGCTGCTGCTGCTGTTGTTGTTGGATGCTACGAAGGGCTGAATCACGGGGACCAAAAAACGGCGCAACTCCACACGCTCTGCAGCAGCAGCAGCAGCAGCAGCAGCAGCAGCAGACACAGTTTAGAGGCAGCACACAAGAGGACACAGAGGCGCAGACACCTGCGGCCCTGAAGGGTTCCCGCAGGCGCCCCTCAAGCAACCCCAGTCTCTGCAGCAGCCCCACCCCCAGCCCCAGCAGCAGCAGCAGCAGCAGCAGCAGCAGCAGCAGCAGCAGCAGCAGGCTTACTGGGGTCTTTGTGGGGCCGCCAGGGGCGAATGAATTCCTCGCGGGCCTCCGCGCCGCCCTCAGCAAAAGAAAAGATCAGCTCCAGCCACTGCCAGGACTGCAGCGTTTCAGCCTGGGGCGAAGCAAGCAGCAGCAACTGACACGCCACCAAAGCTGCTGCTGCTGCTGCTGCTGCTGCTGCTGCTGCTGCTGCTGCTGGCAGCGGGGTGGTGGTGGCGGTGCTGCTGCTGCTGCTGCGGGCGTGCAGCGGCTGCAGCGCCGCAGCTAGCGGCTGGGGTAAGAGGGAAGAAAGCCAACTGACAAATTAAGTGAAAAGATGGAAAGAAACTTTGAGACAAAAAGAGATTAAAAAAACTTTAAAAAGAAATAAAAAAGATAAAAAAGAAAAAGACAAAAGACAAAAAGAGAGAATGTAGAGGCAGCAAGAAGCACGTGGAGCGACAGAGGTCCGCAGCAGCGAAGATCCAGCAATTAAATGCCAAAGACGCCGTAGCAGCAGCAGCAGCGACAGCAGCAGCTGCCGTAGCAGCAGCAGCACAGCAGCAGCAGCAACAGCAGCAGACACGCGTGGCTCACCGGTGCCCCGCGCAGCTCCGCGTAGACGGAAATGACTGGCAGCAAATTGTCGAGGCGCCTTGCTGCTGCCTGCAGCAAGGAGACAGAGGAGAGACACGGGAGAAGCCCTTGCTGCTGCTGCTGCTGCTGCTGCTGCTGCAAGGTTTGCTGCTGCAGCAGCAGCGGCTGCAGCAGCAGCGGCTGCAAGGCGGTAAGCTCTTGCAGACACGCGCTACTCAGAGCCACCGAGGAGCAGCAGAAGAAAGCGGGAGGCGGAATTCCCCAGCAGCTGCAGCAGGAACTGCAGGAAGCAAACAGGCAGCAGCAGCAGCAGCAGCAGCAGCAGCGGCAGCAGCAGCACATCGCTTACGTCTCCCTCCACGACTGCCTGAGCAGCAACCCAAGGAAGCGGAGCAGCAGAAAATATGCGGGGAGGCAACGGCCAGCTGCAGCAGGCAAGCTGCTGCAGCAGCAGCAGCAGCCATCGCAGAAGGGATGCAGGAAGTCCTTTTGTTGGATCTTCTTCCTGGTCTGCTGCTGCTGCTGCTGCTGCTGCTGCTGCTGCTGCTGCTGCTTTCTTGGTTGCTGGGTCTGGCAGCTGCCGCCACGTCAGCAGCGGCAGCAGCTCTTCATAGAAGTAGTAAGGCCTCGCTGGTGTTTTGGCTGCAGAGGCAGCGCAGCTGCTGCTGCTGCTGCTGCTGCTGCTGCTGCTGCTGCCATCGCAGCTGCTGCTGCCAGCTTTGGGCAGTTCACTGGGCTTTTCTGCTCCGCCTGTGCTGCTCCTTCTGCAGCGGCTGCTGCTGCTGCTGCTGCGTACTGCTGCCAGGAAGTGCTGCTTTGCTGCAGCAGGAGCAGCAGCACACGCGCACAGCCACAGACCCCGCAGGTCAACAGCAGCAGCATTGCTGCTGCTGATGCCCTGGAGGCCTTGCTGCAGCCCTTCTATTACTGTGTCTAGCTCGCCAATGGCCTGCAGCAGCAGCGAGGCACTGTCTTCGCTGCTGCTGCTGCTGCTGCTGCTGCTGCTGGAGGCAATCGCGCTTGCGAGCTTGTCCCTGTGGCCCCCTTGCTGCTGCAGCTGCTGCTGCAGCTGCTGCTGCCGCTTGAGCTGCTTCTGTTTCCAGAGAAGCACGCGCAGCAAACAAAAGGACGCCAGCAGCAGAGCTGTGCGGCAGCAGCAGCACTGCAGCAGCAGCAGCCGCTTCGTGGTTTGGCAGCAGCTGCGCATCAGCTGCAGCTGGCTCTGAAAGCTGCAGAAACGAGTGCCAGAAGCAACAGCAGCAGCAGCAGCAGCAGCAGCAAATTCTCGTGTGCACGAAAAGCAGCACTTCTCTCAATACTGACACGCTGTCGAGGCCGCTGCCTCAGCAGCAGCAATAGAGCAGCAGCAGCAGCAACAGCAGCAGCAGCAGGCTTACGAGTACAAAGCCGTCTTAGCTGCCTCCCGCAAGTTCTGCAGCTCTCGGCAGCGGGCAGAAAAGACATCATCAGTAACAGCAGCAGCAGCAGCAGCAGCAGCAGCAGCAGCAGCAGCAGCGGCCTCAGGGGCACTCTTTGGCTCTGAAGCAAACTCAGGACCGCCGTTTGCTGCCTGCGAGCACCGCGGACCCTCGCTGCTGCTGCTGCTGCTGCTGCTGCTGCTGCTGCTGGCTGCATGGCGTAGCCCCTCGAGTGCGAAAGCAGCAAAGGAGTGCAGCAGAGAAAGCAGCTGCATGCGGCCCTGCAGCAGCAAAGCGGCAAAAAGCAGAAGCAGCAGTTGCCTGGTGCGCAGCGGCAGCAGCAGCAGCAGCAACAGCAGCAGCAGCTAGTGGAGCTGCAGCAGCACCATCTGCTTACCTTGACGAAAGCTGCTAAGGGCGGCAAAGGCGGGGGGCTGCTGCAGCTGCGCGGCTGCTGCATGCGTCTGCTGCTGCGGTGCTGCTGCAGCAGCAGCAAACAGTCCCTCCAGCAACAGTGGGCGCGGCGCACCGCAGCAGCAAGAGCGGAAACCAGCTCCTCACTTGCTGTTGTTGCTGTTGTCTCTGCAGCAGCAGCAGCAGCTGCCGCTGCTGCTGCTGCTGCTGCTTTCAGCCCAGCAGCAGCCGCCTCAGCCTCAACAGCAAGGGCCACTGCCCCCAGCCACGACTGCGAAGCAGCAGCAGCAGCACTGCGGGCCACTGCATGCAGCGCAGCAGCAGCAGCAGAGTGCTGCAGCCCCGTAACAGCAGCACAAATTGCTGCCCTGTACACGACATTAAGGGGCATTTGGCCTGAATGAACAGTAGCAGCAGCAGCAGCAATTGCTGCTGCTGCTGCTGCTGTAGGCTTGGGCGCGTCGGCAGCTGCTGCTGCCCGGAGAAGCCTGTGCTGCAGCAGCAGCTGCTGCAGCATGAGCAGCAGCGCTGAGCGGTAAGTGCGTATCCACTCGAAGTGCTGCTGCACAGCTTCAGCGGCTTCTTGCTGCTGCTGCACTGTTGCTGCTGCTGCTGCTGCTGTCCTCAAGCTCCAGGAGACGCAGCCGTTGAAGTGCTGCTGCTGCTGCTGCAGCAGCACAAAGCAGCGGGGCCCCTGAAGGGCCGGCGCGAAGCAGCTTTTGAAGTGCCTCGCCAGCGTGGGAGATTGCAGATCTAGCAGGACTAACAACTTGCTGCTGCTGCTGCTGCTGCTGCTGTTGCTGCTGCTGCTGCTGTTGCTGCTGCTTCTGGCGCAACTCTGTTGCTGCAGAGATGTGAAAGAGGCTGGACAGGCGCTGAGGTGCTGCTGCAGTGCTCTTGCTGCTGCTGCCCCTGGCGGTGCAGCAGCAGCCACTGGCAGCAGCAGCAAGTTGCGCAGCACAGACAGTGGAAGCAGCGGCAGCGCAGCAAGAGGTAGAGACCCGTCTTGAGGCAGAGTGACAGTGCGCAGCAGCAGCAGCTGCTGCTGCTGCTGCTGCTGCTGCTGCTGGCACTGCTGCTCTGGCGCCGTTTGCTGTTGGTCTAGTGCAGCAACGCCAGCAGCAGCAGCAGCAGGGATACTGCTGCTGCCCGCTTCTGCTGCTGTAGCTGCTGCTGCTGCTGCTGCTGCTTCTGCAGGCGGCAGCAGCCTCTCTGCCAGTTGGCTGGCTAGAAGGGGCTGCTGCTTGTGGACAACAGCAAGACACCGAGAAACGCAGAGAGCGAGGGCCTCCTGCGGGCGCAGCAAGCAGCAGCAGCAGCAGCAGCAGCAGCAGCAGCAGCAGCAGCAGGGTCGAAGTATCAGCGGGTGCAGCACGCTTGTGTTGTCTTTATGCGCGGCACTAAGGGTCGCAGCCAGCAGCAGCAGCAGCAGTATCGACAGCAGCAGCAGCAGCAGTATCAGCAGCAGCAGCAAGGCAAGTTCTCACCCGTTGGCCTTCCGGTGTGTGGACACTTGTGGGGCCCCTTGTGACGCTGGTGTAACTGCTGCTGCTGCTGCTGCTGCTGCTGCTGCTGCTGCGCAGCCACAGCAGCAAAACTTTGAGT